TATCAAGTTGATAGTGTGCAGAGTACCTATGGAATCTTCTAATACACTGTGGTATATAAATAATTTTCTCACACTAAGTACCTGTGTTTTATCATACAACAGTATTGTGAGATGTCTATACGGAAGAAAAAGTAATACTTTGAGCACAACGCATTGAGCTTTTTCAGCATTTATTTATAATATTCAACGTTACAACACCGTACAATGGTATCCACCTATATTTCTTTCACGAATACAATAATTGTTAGTATTTACAGTCAATAAAAGTGATACATGTAATCTCTCTCCGACACGAGGATAAATATATCACTCGGTTCATCGGTGACAAGCCGACGAGCGGCGAGCACAGTAGGTAGTAATCACTGTAGTTGGGGACGTAACAAATAAAGCTTTATAAAATAATTTGCCATTTAGACCATAATAGTTAATAGTTAAGTTAATTTGAACGTTAACGCACGCATACACGCACGCACGCACGCACACACGCACGCACGCACACACGCACGCACGCACGCACGCACGCACTAAAACTAAACATACTAAAACAGTGTAATACTAAAATAGAAATCTTAGTAGATTTGTCTCATGAGTCCTGACATAGATTATAGTAAACCAATAGCTGAATATTCATTATATACAGTGGTGGTGATATAATTAAGAACGCTGATATAAGGGGAAGTTTTTCTCATACTAAAACACAAAACTAATTGCATGCAATTTTTTTGATTTCTCCCGGTATCGTAAAACTTACTGTGCGACAGTGGAAAAATGTACTTTTTCCGACGAGACAAAAATAAACAGAGTATGTTCTGACGGAAAACGATATTTATGACGTCCCCCGAGTACAGCATTCAACCCCAAGCACACGACAGTTACATTAAAGCACGGTGGTGTAAATGTGAGAATCTGGGGGTGCTTTTCTGGACATGGTGTTGGACCTGTAAAGTTGATAGAAGGTAACATGGATCAGTTCCAATACAAAAATATACTGGAAGAAACAATGTTACCTTATGCTGAAGACGTTCTACCGGTTATTTGGACGTTTCAGCATGACAATGATGCAAAGCACACTGCACGCACCGTAAAGGAATTTCTTACAGCGCAATCAGTTTCTGTCTTAGACTGGCCAGCTAACAGCCCAGATCTAAGCCCAATAGAGAATCTGTGGTTCAAAGTAAAGAAAAAGGTTTAAAATACACAGTGTGGGAATTTAAGAGAGCTGTATGACGTTTTTTTAGAAGAATGGGACTCTATTTCTCTGCGAAATGTCAAAAATTTGTAGAGTCAATGCCTCGCCGGTGTAAAGCTGTAATTAAAAGCCGTGGATATGCTATTGACTATTAATTTTAGTTAAAAATGTATTAAATTGCTTTTTAAATTTCCTACAATGATTTTTTAAATGTGTCATACAAAACAATTTCCGAGCAGTTTAATAAATCGTTCTTAAATATTCGTCCAGTTTCAGTATTATTTGAATGAGTTACTTTGGTAAAATAAATAAAATATGAAAAAAGTTAGCGATTTTATTCTTTATTCCTAAGCCACGTTGATCTATTAATGTGGCTATTTTATAACATAACTAGTTGCTTCTCAGAAGGTGCATATCTCTGTGTACGACATGATTTAAATAAAAAACTTCTAGAACTTCAAATCGTTCTTAATTATGTGACCACAACTATATGAACAAAAAGTAGCAATGTAATTTATTTATTTATTTAATTCTTTATTTGCGCAATATGGGTACAGATGGTGTTACAGTGGTCAATTTACATTGTTGATCGCCATATTTAGGCTCATGCCATGCAAAAATTGTTAATTATATGCTATAGTTTAAATTAAAATTATTACATATCAAATTACAGTGTCTAAATAATTATTAAAATAATGTCAAATGAGATTACCACACAATGTCAACTTTGTAAAATAAATGTCACATAAAATGTGTAATTAATGTCACAGTACCTACCACTAAGCCGGTTACAATACTACATCTAATAAATTGTCTTCAAGAAACTCCCTTACCGAATAATATGATTTTTCTAAAAGTAGTGTCTTAATTTTTTTTAAATAAATTATTATTCAAAATTTTAAGCAGAGAGTTGAGTAAATGATCATACACTCTAGGAATCATACAAAATACACTGCTGTTTAAAAGTTTAGTTTTGTTAGACATCAAGCTTATTTGGAAAGGGTATCTTTTGCTTTTTAATTTAACAAATAAGTTACTATTATTTCTTACAAATAGTACCATATCCAGTATACAAATACACGGTAGTGTCAATATTTTAATCTTTGGAAATATCGACCTACAGCTCTCGGTTTGTTTCATTCTGTATATAGCCCGAACGCATCTCTTTTGCGCCCTAAAGACCAACTCTTTTCCCACAGAGTTGCCCCAAAACATAACAGCATACATTAAAAGAGGAGTAACATGTCCATTGTAAGCGGTTAAAACTGTGGATGTACTGGCAGTTTTGGACAACATGCAGATCGCATATGAGTATTGATTAAGTTTCGAACACAACATCTCTGTATGTAACTTCCAGTTTAGTTGAGAATCAATGTTTAGTTCCAAGAATTTTATTGTCTCTACTTCTTCAATTTTTGTTTGTGTATAGTAGATTTGTCCGTTAATTTGTGAACTCTGTTTCGAAACGTCATTAATTTAGTTTTTTTTTCAAATTTATTTTTAAATTATTTAAAGTCAACCATTTAATAATATTGTCTAAGGTATTGTTTATGTCCAATTCTATTTGTGTTTTTTCTTTTCCTGTAAATATAATTGTACTGTCAATCAGTTATTTAAAGATATGTTTTAAATATTTTTACTATTCTAATCCAGCGTTTGACAACTATCCTTGTGGGTAAGTCATGATGCAGCCGAAGATGGTGAAGCGCACTAATTTAACAAAAGGCTGTTCAGTAAAAGTAAAAAGCACACGGTGTAAGTAAAATCAGCAGTTGCAAACTTGCTATCCAAATTTGGATGTGGATACTATAGCAAATATCCTCCTTCAAGACCATCAATGGAGGAGACTTATTTTTTCTAGGATAGGATGACAAACGAGCATACAGCCCACCTGTTAGTAAGTGTTTGCTGTGGCCCATAGACATCTACATCTATAAAGTGTCAAAGAAACTTACATTCCACCGGGTGGTTAAGTAGCTACTGCAGTGTAAAGACACCTGCAGCCAACTTTAAGGAAAGAAGGCTACAGATGCGTTGCTACGTCTTAAGACTAAGATGGAATGCCTCATACTCGCAGCCTATAATTATACTGGCTCTCTATACCATTCAGTTCGGAACACAGCAGTGCAAGCATTTGGTGACAGAAACAGGTCACTCCTCCCTATATAGATTAGGGAGTCGAGTTAATCCCACAATGCCGCAGAAAGGCCAACTTTGACAAAATAATTTGTGTTAAACACAATTATATAGATAACCTCTTTTAATGAAAATTTTACCCGACCGCGACAAAAGTCGCTAAATACATCACGCCTTTACCATCAAGGCGCCCAGGACCGGCACATTGCAGTGTGCCGTGAGGAACATCCGGGTAAAGGGGTGTACCCCGAGGCCCGAGACCTGCATGGCATTATGCCTTGCAGAAGACAACGACAACGACAGATACAGGTCAGTGAGTAGCATCCAAACAGACGGACTCCTTGGCAGAAAAAGAGCCCAATCACCTTCAATAAAATGTCCTCAAGATCGAGTTTCAGTCGTGGCGACCAGTCTCAATGGAGAGCCATCTGCGCAGAACAGAATTATATTGACCAAGTGTATGCGCAAGCACAATCTATTCCTTCACTCTTTTAGTCCGATGAGACAGTTAAACGGATTCGAACACCAGACCTCACAATTCGCAACCGCGTTTAGGACCACTTGACCAGCAAAGCAGTCAATATAAAGAATTTTAAAGGTATTCAATGTAATACAATCTATTTACTTCGAAAAATTAATATAATAATGTTGTACATGTTAAGTGATTTATTTGTAATAGGTAATGGAATGTAGTTGTGCTTTTTTAATTTATTTATTATTGTAAAAACGACATCCAGAGAACATTTGTTTCGGTTCCTTTACATTTTATAACTTCTTTAACGGATAGAGTATAGTATTCCTTACGCCTAAAGTAGTCAGATGGTAACAAAAATTGAAGTAAGTGCAAATGTCGGTAAAAATCACCAGAATATTTTATGTCGCTAAACATTGAATTAAACTCCTAAATTAACAAAAAACTCAGATTTAGCGACAAAGTCGCTAAAATGGCATCACTATGCATCGGGCGGCAGGGAACAAATTTCAGGATGCCGATAGTTTAGCTAATATCTTTTTACGGTGAAAATAATGGTAATTAAAAAAAAACATAAGACCTGCTTTATAGTTAGTTCAGTTAGTACGCATATATGCAGTTTCATGATCTAATTTGAAGTATTTTGTGATTACCACCGGTTTATTTTTCGGTTAGGATGTAACTTTGGATTTTTTTCCTATCGAGAAAATTTTTCGGGATCGTCTAACAACATAGTACCTAACATTAATCCTCAACTTTACCATATATTTATTTCAAAATTAATGCTGCAATATTTTCAGCATAACGGAGGATCGTGTGATACCATTTGAAGTAGTATAGGCTCTTAGGCATCTTTTCCATTACACGGTTGTTCAAACGTACGGTGTGTAAGCCGTACGGTTGAAAAAACGTGCTAGCTTGTACATGATACGGCAAAATCACCGCGCGAGACATTGGTAAGTACTGGCTAGTAGCGCTTTTTACTCGGGCTGTGTAGGACGTGCTGCGTCATGAATTTTCTTACGAAAAAAAAGATTATAGTTGCTTATTACATATATAGGAAAAAGAAAATAGAAAAAAAAAGGGAAGTAAGGTTTTGGATACATCCGATTTTAGAAAAAAAGGGAGGAATATGGCGCGTTTCATACACTTGTCAAGAATCAATTGAGAGAAGATGAAGACAAGTTTTACAATTATTTTAGAATGCAGAAAACTACATTCGACAACTTGCTCCAAAAATTATCCCAGGAACTAAAACATCAAGATACTTTTATGCGAGAGAGTATATCGCCCGCAGAAAGATTGGCTGTAACTCTGAGGTAAGTAGGTACAAAATTAAATGACATATTTTAGTTTAAAATTGTTTATTGCACACAAACAAAATTATTACATGTAATTGAATTTTAATAATTATTAATTTAAGAACAAGTAAATCAAAAAATACACTACGCTGAAAATGCTACTCAAGTGCGGTACTAAAATCGAATTCGTCTTCAATAGAAACTTGAGAATCTGCCGAGATACTTTCCGCATTTACACTATGTACAGATAATTGTGATTCGGGTCGGTAGTGGATTGGCTCTAAACCAGAACCGTGTCCAAAATCATGAGAAGACGTCTGTGGACGACTTATTCCATAGCTCGATCTAGCAGCTGTAGAATATCCATATGTTGACGATTGCGCATTTGAGGATGCTGTACCACTTAAATATCCTTGATGGCCTTGATCCCATTGGTTTCTTGATGTAGGTATATACTGAGTACACTGTCTTTGTTGAATATTTTTAATTATTGAAATTACTTGAAACTGAAAGTCTATCATATTTTCATCACTGAACTTGTCAACTGTATCAGCGATTCCCATAAAAAAAGTTCATACTACGGCTTTTCTTTTTCTCATCTCGTTCTGCTGAATCCATAAACTTCATAAACCTAATGTCAACTTCACTTAGTTCATTTTTTCTTTTTTTTTTAGCCCTTTGCGTCTCACTCCGTTCAGTGTATCCCGAGCTTGATTGATTCGGGACTGCACTATCAAAATTTTCATTACTGAGGCTAGAATCATGAACATGTTCAGTCATGTTAGAATCGGTCTTGCGATGCTCAACATTTTTTTTAGGAACATCATTTCATCATAGAACATATATTTTCTTATTTTTTTTGCTGAAGAACCAGACTTACATTCATTAATTTTTTTGTCATATTTTATCCAGCTATCTTTCATATTGGTCCACTTCTTCATCACCATTTGCCCTGAAAATAAATAAATAATAATTATTAAATTCAAAATTTATGAAAACCCCCCGACCTAAACTGAATCGACCCCGACCTAAAATGGGGTTTTAGTATTTGAACCTGAACCGTTTTGTTTTATATTTCAGGTATCTAGCAACAGGAGATACCTTTACTGACCTATACTACAGCTATAGAATTGGAATAAAAACCATAAGTTGCATCGTACGTGAAGTATGCCACTACATTTGGTTAGAACTGTATAAAGAATATATGAAAATGCCATCTAAAGAAGACTGGCTACACATTGCAAGCAAATTTCAAGAATCTTCCAACTTCCCGCTGTGCTTAGGAGCGGTCGATGGAAAACACATCAGACTTATTAAGCCAATTGATAGTGGCTCGATGTTTTTAAATTACAAACATTTTTTTTCTATAGTTTTGATGGCAGTAGTAGATAGCGATTACAACTTTATATTTGTTGACGTTGGCGCCTACGGAAAGGAGTGTGATTCCAGTGTGTTTAAAGAGACCCCATTTTGGAAAAAATTTAACAAACAACGGATTAAATCTACCCGATGCAACACGTTTGCCTGGAATTGACTACGATTTGCCATATGTGTTCGTTGCGGACGAAGCCTTTGCTTTGCATTATCACTTGCTTCGTCCATTTGGTGGTCATCAGCTTGATCAATTAAAACGTACATTTAACTACAGACTCACAAGAGCGCGAAGATTTGTTGAATGTGCGTTTGGCATTTTATCCAATAAATGGCGAATTTTTCACCGGCCAATGAATGTGTCCATCGATTTGGCAGTTGATATTGTGAAAACATGTTGTGTTTTGCAAAATTTTATACATAAGCAGGAAAACTTTCAGTTTCACAATGCGAGTGAAAATGAGTCCACCCTTGATTCAGAATCGGAACTAATCCAGTTACCTATCACGAATGCAGTTCGCGGAAGTTTGGCGGCTAATGAAGTTCGCAACAGATTTGCACAATATTTTGTATCTAACGAAGGTCGCCTCTCCTATCAAAACAACTATGCATAAGTAAAAAGTTAATAATTAAATATCTGTAACTTACCAAACTTGTTTTTCTCATCACCACTTAAATCTTCAAATGTGGGCTGGAAATGAATAAATATTTCTTTCCAGGAATCATATTTAAGCCGCTTATTTTTATAATCGTCGATGGTCTTATCCCATATTACAGGCCTTTCTTGAATCAACGTAATTAATAATTCTTGATTTATGTTCATTTTATAATAAAATCGCGAAACAGCGTATATAAGCGGTCACGAATCCGTGCGTACGTCCGGCACCGTCGACACACCCCGATAGACTGCCATACAACACTGGTGAAAATCACGCCGTGCGTAGACGCGGCGCGCCGAGGGGCAGTCACGGCGCACGCGGCCGCGGCGCCGTGCCTTGGCGCCACCGTGCATGTCGACAAGCTCATATAGTGATCCATACCACACTGACGACCGTGCCTACACGCGGCGAATTAACCGTAGATTTTCACGGCGAGAAACCGTGTAATGGAAAAGAGGCCTTAATGAAAAAAGAGCAAAGTCAAAAGGTTGTTCAAACGGAATTTAATAAATAAATGAATGAAAAATTAAATTGATTTGATATTATCTACATTACCAAAAACTTCAAGAATTATTTAAGCTATGCAGATAATAATTGTACGACTTCATTTATTTCTACACATGTTTTATGTAGAGATTATTGAAAGTGTGTCGAATCGTTGGTCAAACAAAGAAATTACTCGCCGACCACGGATCATTAACCTATCTGAGATCATGCACTTAATGGAGTATATTAGGGTCCGAGGCACATATCCAGCGATTTGTTTCCTGTCGGATTAACGGAAAGGGGCTCAAATTGTGGTCATTTCCGTGGTGAAGAAGTATGAGAGCTGCCTTGGCAAAACGAAAGTTGTTTCTATACTAGCGATTCGCCCCGGCTTCGCGTGAGAGGGATCTGTTAATGAGGCGTTATTTAGATTGAAGATAGTCAAAGAGCACTGATTTTATTAATTTTTCCTTATTTCAAAACAATCGAGTTCAAAGAGTTTTTTTGTTCTTCAGATAAAATATAGCCTTACATAACATTAGATTTTGATCTTGTTCTCTAGCTGTTGGCAAAGTTTTATCACAATCGTTTCAGCTATTGCAAAGATTAGCCCGGGTAGACAGACAGGCTCCGATCTGGAGTTTTTGATGGTGGAAGAGCCAGGCTGCAGCTATATTATAATCGTAGCACGAATGGGTCGGCTCAACCGGTGCAGGAACACGCTCTCGTAGAATCCCGGCGTAAAATAGCAGCGTGATACTGCTGTGTTTCGTATGGTGAGTGTAGAAAACCGGAGACTCTTTTTACAGGAATCGAGGCATTCTATTTTAGTCCTTAAGGGTGACAACGCATTTACATTTTGATTCTTAATGGAGAATAAATGTGGATGTCTATGGGCGGAGCATCCACTTACCATCAGGTGGATTGTGTGCTCGTTTTTCACCTAAGGCTATAAAAAAACAGTTTTTTTTTCAAATGGTTATTCATGTTTTAACAGTATGCAAAAACCTTCTGATGGCCTGATGGCCAAATAGAAGCCAATTACTTCAATAATACAGACAGACGCAAATTTTATTTACATGTCGTTTATTATTAATCCATTAATATTATTCTTTGCTATATCGGTATTCATTCATAATAATATCTTGCTGTTTGTTTAATATCATGATCGAAGATGTATGAACTACGTACATAGTTATTTTTGCTAGTAGGTATATTTTATTTATTTTATTAAACTTTATTCTGATTGTCAAAAATAAAATGTATAGTTGCAGTTTGTATATGTCCTTAACTGGGCACAGGCCTCCTCTCAGTTCCGAGAATGCTCCAGTGCGAGTTTTTTTATAAAATAAGGATTGCGAACGAGCACACAGTCCAACTGATGGTAAGTTGATGCTGTGCTGTGACCCATAGACATTTACATTTATCTTCGATTAAGAAATAAGACGCAGATGCGTTGTCACCCCGGAGGACTGAGATGGAATGCCTCGATTTCAGTGAAAGGATATGCGGTTCTCTGCACTCACCGTATGAAACACAGCAGCCATAAGCTGCTAAAATAGCAGATATTCTGTGAGAGCGTAGTCCTTCCCCGGTCGAGCCGATTTATTCGTACTACAACCATAATATAGCTGCAGCGTGGCTCTACCACGTAAAAATATTCTTATGTAATACTCTTATATACTCTGTCATACTCTTCACGTTTCTTCGAAATATTTGTATCTCTCAGACTTGCTGGTTCCCTCACGATGTTATTTTACCACTAAGCACGTAATAAGTAAACTTACTGGCAATGTAAGAATATCCACTACCCCATATCATCCCGTGGGTGTCGTAAGAGGCGACAGAGGGAGACGGGCAGGAGATGGGCAGCAGCATCTTCCTAATAACGAATAAAAAATTAAAAAAAAAACTGGAGTTGCCAAATACGTGGTATTTTTATTATATTTACGTGGTAGAGCCATGCTGCAGCTGTATTAGTAGTTGTAGCACGAACGGGTCGGCTCGACCGGGGAAGGACCACGCTCTCACAGAATACCAGCGTAAAATAGCAGCTCAATGGTGCCGGCTGCTGTGTTTCGTATGGTACAGAACCGGGATCTATTTTACTGTATACATTCCATCTTAGTCCTCACGTGTGACACAGCGCACTGCATTTTGATTCGTAATCGAGAATAGCTATGTATATGTCTATGGGCCAGAGCAACCACTTACCACTAGGTGAATAAAAAATATCCCCCAAAGAAGCAATATAAGAGGGAGTCCTATGTTCCGCAGTAGAATTTTAGTTGTAACAAATTCCTAAGTGCTGGCGGCCATGAACCCGGGTAACTGGGCTACGGAAACTTAGGAGGAGTGCATAACTTCTAAGCCGCCACGGCTACACGGAACGGAAAAAGTGTGTGTCTATAATACACACGTGCTATTTATCACGATCCTTGGATCATGATCCAGGATCATGATTTTCATTGAACATGTAGTATCATGTACTGATGGATCGCGATACGAGTCACAGAATTTCAGCCTACAAAGTCCACTGTTGGACATAGGCCTCCCCCACGGATTGCAATAGTCGCGACTCTTGGCAGACGGGTCAGCACACAGCAATTTTAATAATTTTGAATTGTTGTCACACGTCTTACGCCAAGTCACGCCTTTACGTGTTATGGTTAGGTATGTATGTATATCTATTTCTTTAGCACGCTCTGTGGCCAAATGGATCCGTGGATAACATATTATAACAAAATATGTGGTTTCGATAGAAGCGCCTTAGTTGTAGAAATGCCATGGGATATGAAACTCTTATCTTTTCATTATACCTACTTTTTTACGTATTAGCTTTTTTATTACGGTTCTAACCTTTGAACTTTGATTATATACATGTATATAATCAAAGCCTTTGAACTTGTTTTTGTATAGGGTATATATTTGATACATTTTTAAATCAACTATCGGGATGCCTGATGAAATATGAATACACTAGGGTCTTTAATTCAGGCAATTACGGCGGCGTCGATGAGAAGCGAGTCGCTAGATGATGTCACCGGTCGTCGGCCGCGTTGCTCCGTCAGCGGTGGAGGCTGAGCGATGTCTACGTTCAATACGTTGCTTTGTACACGAGGCGCCACGCCACGAGCGATTAATGACAGCGATGCGATCCGTCTTATCCATAACGACTTAGATATTAACTATGTTGTGGTTCGGTTCTTATAACGTGCACGTGTGGTGTGACACTTTGTTGTAAATTACAAAAGCAGATTATAATTTCTGAACATCGCAAGTTAGTTAAAAACAATTCAAATACATATTCTTTTAGCTAATACAAAAATGGTCTATGCATTTTGTTTATGGTATTTGGTCCGATTCATGATCGATAGGTCTGTAGGGGTCTCCGAAGTCGCGGGGTGGGAGAGGTGCACAAGCTGCGTGCACGCACACAAGCGCAGTGGCCATTTTGAATCCATGTCGCCGCGGGCCACCGGGTTTTATTGTGTATTTGTATCACTTGAACGACATAATATATATGCAGGTAGCCGCTTTCTTGCCCGCTGACTCATTGATGTAAATAAAACGTATGTAATAAGTAGCATAACATTTCATTGACATCGAAATATTGTTGTGTTAGCAATACGACAGCATAATAATAGTACAAAATAAGTGCCTTTTTATTACCTACGTTTAAAAATTTGTCTTTATTTTCTGATGATTTTATATTAAGTATCTATTTCTTTTAACGATTAAAATGTTTCGTTTTTCTATTCTTGATAATTATTGTCCGTATAGATATGGAAACATAATATGGCGACAGTATTAGCAAAGGGGGTTGGGGATGTAGGTAGGTATTAGACGTTTTTTGTTTTATTTTCAAACATGGTGTTCAAACTGTTTTTAAGAGTTACATTTCATTATTTTTCTCTGGGTTAGAGGAATACATTATTTGTTTAGGACAGTGATTTGTATACTACTGGTCGTGAATAGTGTATAAGATACAAAAAAGTTGTAGTTGTATGTTAATAAAAGTATAATTTAAGTGTATTTGGTCTAAATTATAATTTATTATTTTATATCGAAGTGGTTCGGCTATCAGATTAAGTAACAAGTGGTAAAATTAAAAATTTTGTACAACCGCCTACAATACGACCGAATCAATGTATTCGAAGTCAATTAAATACACATTTTTTAAGGATAAGTAACTCAAAAACTACTGGGTAGTCTTCATCAAATTTATATGGGACCACACGAGAAGCACCAGCTTTCAAATAAAAAAATCATCAATAAATAGCTTCACCCAAATAAATTCTGAGGTAGCACACAAAGAAAAACATACGGTCGAATTGAATACCTGCTCCTGTTTGAAGTCAGTAAAAATAAAACAACACCGTGCGTCCACCATTATCTTAACTACTTGCAAATTTTAGTTACTTGCAAATATCATACGCTAATTTGGGGTCAACAGGTTGTTACTCGTA